ATCATCAACATGGTCTCTGAATTCAATTCCAATATTACAGGTAATATTTTGTCTAATCTCATACAATAATGGTTCGGTTCTATTTACAAATTCAATAGATGGTACAATTCGATGTTGAAAATAATAACCTGTTGCTATTACATAACGATTCCAATTGAACATTTTTAAATTTAATGTACGAATAGCACGGTAATTGGCGTATAAATGTAAACATGTTAACAGTACATACAATGTCCACACAAGTAAACGATCTTGTTTAATTGTTTTAAGTATAAATAGATTACAAATTAATGCTACCAGATTCACTAATGTTTCTTGACTACCATCCTTAGCACTAACATCTCCCATATTATTATTAAGTGCTTGATGTTGTGTCAATGCTGCTCGTGTAGAACCACCTGCAACACCGACTAATGAGCGACACAAATTTGAGCAGCAGGTAATTGGTAACAACAGCGATTTATAGTAAGGCGCAAGTAAATCGATACTTGTTGCTAAATCATTCAATATATCAGCATAAAAACGCCACATTTTTAAATTTCTGTCCAAATCTGAAAGCAAACTAATAACAAATTAATCTATAGCTGTAAAAATGAAGCGATACAGATCAAACAATGACATTCATTCGCTTTCTAAACTCAAACTATCGAACTTTTTGCTCCAAAATATCGTTTGAATATCATCATTTTATCGTTTTTTAAACTCTGAAAAAGATTCAAACCTGTTCCATGCAGCCATGCAAACATAATTCGACCAAACATTCCAACACCGTCTTTGATTAACCAAACAAATGTTGCTGATAACACGGCTAAAATGTTCCAAAGTGTGAAGGATCAATGGCAACAGTGTACATAAAGATAAAAGCCGCTAGCCACTTTCGCATGAAAAACGAATAACCTACATGCTTTCTCATCACCCACACCCATTCCTTCCAATATAGCACTGAATGCTAATGCATTTGTAATAGACGAAGTAAATGCTTGAAGTGTATCCCATTTTTGATAAGGTAAATAATCTCTACTAACACTATCCGGATAACCTGCGGGTAAAAATATTTCTTTGAAAATTGATATGAGCCACGTATAAAAGACTCCGACAGAATAACGATTAAAACTAGATACAACTTTATCCTTTTGTTTATGATGAAAAGTTGTATCGGATAACGTCACTGATCGTCCTGTTAACACGCCTCGATTTGTTTCATATAATCTCATATTATTCATTTTAATAATGATTATTGATCTAGAACAAAGGAAGTGTGGGAATAAAGCGACTGGAGATGAGATGGTGTTCACAAGAAACCACTATCATTCACACATTGCGTATAACGTAGACGTATTTTTCTTCCTTCATATATACGGCTAGCGTTTGACTATGGGAGGAGACAAAATGAATGATGTTATTTACTTTTCTTTGACTACTTTCACATTCATTAGAGAATGAAAATGAAAGTTTTATTTCAGATCCTTTGAAGTATATCGATACACTTCAGTCACCTTGTGCAAGCTTGAGTCTTAATTTTCGAAGAAAGAGGCAATAATAAAGACAAAGCAAAAGCAAATATCAGTGTCATACGTGTACTGATAATAAATAAAATGTGGTTTTTGACCACTCGGTTCTGCTTTGAAGCGCTTAACTTTCTCGTTGATTCAGAGAAACTAAACATCAAGCTGAAATCTGTAATTTTTTTCGTTTTTATGGATAAAAGTTGATAAAGTGGTAAAAAATTGTTTGTTTTCTTCAAACTTCTTCAACGTTCGTTTTAGAGAGTTGGACTTTATAACTAAATAGTAAACTATCGCATTCACTAATTAAACGATACGTTCTACGATCACAACTCAGAAAACAGTATAACTATATTGCCTCAATGTTATGCTCAAATTGCTTTTTCCCTTGACTTTAGTCTAGGGTCTTACAAAAGGGTTGTCTCTGTGTACGATTGTGTGCGCAAAATATGAAAAAATAGCTGTCAGATATTCCGTGGATAAGCCAGTCACAAGAGAGCAAAAGAGAAAATTTTTTTTTACACGAGAGAGAAAATATTCCAAGAGATGACTAAAATAAT